TAGATTTTGTACAGTTTTAGAACATAAATTAGAAAAATGTTATAGTTTCCCTTACCAATTGCCATAGGTAACCAGTGACAAAGAGCTATCTTAAAGAAATCAAGTAGAATTCTGTAATTTAAAAACAACTTTTAGATATTGTATATAGAATGAAATAATTTGATTCCTATGTGATCTAAGCCAAATCTAACTAAAGAAAACAAATGATTCATATATATAAGAAATAAAAATCATCAAATAAATGAGGAAAGAGAAAAGAAATAAAAATAGAAGGATAAGTCAAAAAATGATTCATGAAAAAATTGATAAATTAGTTATATAATCATGCAATGATTAAAAACTAAATGTAAATCAATCAAACCACTATCACCACAATTTGGCTAATGAATGTTTTCAACGGTAAAAGAAGAACAAATTCAATAAATGACTTTTTCAAAGTAATGATCATTGTGCTTTGCATGCAATAACAAAAGGATTATCTAAGCTTAAAATGTCTTTTAACCATATTACCACTCTCAAAGACATCATATGTATTTAATAAAATAAATAGCTCACTTGAAAAATAGGAACTCCTTCAAACTCATTTTTTATGTCATCAGTTTTCAGCTAATAAACATAAAAAACTACCATAAGCTAATAGTGTAGATTTATCCAACTAAAAAAGATAACATCTTCATTCAAGTAGGAATGAATCATTGTCACAACTCTATTTGACGCATTGTTGTCTTGTTTACGTTCCCAACATCCAATTCACATAAAAATTGATACCCTAACCCAACAATTTCTTTTACTCCTACATAAAATTTGAAACCTCCTATCTTTTATTTTCTTTTTCTTTTTCTTTTTCTTCATTGCCTAATTAAGAAAATAGCAATACATAATCTAGATGAAATAAATGGCAGTACACAATCTAGATGAAATAAGTCTATAATATTGAATAGCAATGTTAAGCTATTTTTGGGATAATGTCATGTCCTCTTTTAAAAACAACTTTAAAATCAAATTGCATGAAACACTAACCTCTAATGCATTCTTTATTTGAATGGGATCCAGTAGAAAATGAAATGCAATTCCTTCAACCTTTAGTGAATATACCTATAGCATAAATTATAAAAATAGTAATCGTAAAAATCAATATTGTTATTTCCAATCCAATTTTAATAACATTTTTATTTTCATAAATAAATGATAAACTAGTAATTTAAAAAAGAGTCATCTAATCAAGTGTAATTGGTACAACTTTTACATCACTTCTTTGCTCCATACTCTTTAATCAAACTATGACAAATGAAACAAAATCAACCCAAAAAGCTTCGAACCTTGCTATTAATTTAAAAATTTTAACTAACTTGAGTAAAAAATACCTTGGTGTTTTCTTGGCGAAAGCAAAACAAGCCAATGTACTTGGCTCCATAAGGATTAAAGATAAGCATGAACTCATTGTTGGAGTTGCTCACTGTGTACATGTTGTATCAGGTATAGTTTTTGACAACTTGCTTGGGACTCAAGGTGGCAATTGTTATTACTACAGCATTTAACTGAAAAACCTAAGTCTAAACCTTTTGGCCAAATTTAAAACCATAAAAAAGAAAACAAAAAAAAAAGGTTTAAATTGAAGTCTAAACCCAAAAAAAAAAAAATTAAAGCATAGAAAAGAAAACCTTATTTCTCTTTTTTTTTCTTTTTCATTCATTTTTTCATTTTTTTTTTGGCTATTAAAGTTTAAAAAATACCAAATTTGACTTATCAAATTTAAACCAAGCTTTATTTACCTAAAATGACAAAATTATGCTAATAGATGACCTTTTTGCCAAACTTGACCTTGTAAAAAGATGCCAAATAAAAAAAAAAGGGAACGATTCTTAATAGCGAAATAATAAAACGTATGCTTCAAGCTTTTCTTTTTCCCAATCATAACCAGATCACATACGCGAACATGTTTGACGACGACGTCACCACCGTCAGTTTCTCCATCTCTAATTTCAACAGAGGAAAATAAAAAAGAAATAGAAATTTTGAGGAAAGATTAAAATTTCATAAAGTTAGCTCTTCTTTCTTTTTCTCTCCATCTCTCTCTCTTCCCTCTCTCCCTCTCTCTTATGCACTTCTTCCCTCTCATCATCATTTTTTTGAAAGATGAAGAAAGTTATTAAACACATGGCCTTCATGCATAAAGAAATAGGTACATATGGCCTTTACACCTAAACAGATAGCATTGTTGACCATATAAGAGGATATTGTTTTTACTATAAAAAAACTAATATTTTCCCAAATATAACCACCTAATCAATTTTATTTACATTGTTAAGGTGAACCTCAATAAATAATTGAGGACTATTATTATATATAGTTATAGATTTTACTTGTTTCAAAGTTACTTATTTGCATGATAATTACTTATAGTTTGTTATTAACATATGTATATACCCATTAACTATATATAGTTACTAGTTTTCAGTTTATGAAATGCACTAGAAATAAAAAATTACAATAACATAAAACATATAAAAATATATTTTAATATGTATAAAAATGCACTATATACATAAGTTTCACTACTATCATATAGGATTATATAATTAGTTTTTTTTTCATAATTTATACAATATATTAAAGTTATCCCATCTCAATATAATAGAGCCTTTTAAGATTGTGATGTATAATTTTATGCCAACCAAGATTTGATATAAAATATGATTTAAAGGGTGATTGAGCTCTTTGGTTGTATAATTTAGAATCAATTTTGACTTTTTACATATGTTTTTGGATTAATTGAACTCTTTTTCCAAGGCTTGTTTAGACTTTCAACTAACTTTAATTGAGATAGTTATGACCTTAATTATTTTTCATGGATTTCATTTAAGACTATGACTAATGTTTAATGAATTTAATTTAGATCTTTAAGCCATTAATTAAGTCAAGAAGTGAAGATATTTCTCAAAACATAAAAAAAATAAGCTTTTTCCCAAAGTTACTTTTTAATCTTATTTCTTTAATAAGAATACTTTTAAACTTTATTCCAAAATAAAAGGTAGTTTAAGTCAATTAACCTCCACGTCAACATTTTATTCCACCTCATTGTTTTCTTTTCAGTTTACCTTCTCTTTCTCTCTTGTATATCTATAACACATACATTCATCTTTTTTTTTTCAAAATCATTCTCCAAAGTCAATACTTTAACTTTAGAGAGATCTCAATTATGGGACAAATATATATTATTCCAAAAGTAAAAAAGAGTAAGTTTTGATTTGCATTCATTAGAGAATTTTCGTTTATGACAATTGTTTATCAGAAAATTTTCAAACAATCTATTGCAATTTAGAATCAGACTAAAACATAACAATAAGTTCATTATTGAAAAAGAAGACGTGTGTCCATGTGTTTGATTCCCATGCTGAAGATGAGTTTGGTTGCAATAAGGATCCATTATGGTGTTGTCCATTTACACGTTTCTCAACTACAGGCGAACATATGTATGGTTTCAAAATGACAAATCTTTTTTGTAGGATTTTAAAATCCAGATAACTTCAAATTAAAGAGAGATAAAAGATTAAAGAATTGAAACAAAAAATTGGGAAGAAAAAGATGTTACATTAGTAAAATTAATAAGTTTTTTTTTTTTTAGAGAGGCAAATAGAATCCAAGTTTGGTGATTTCATTTTTACTGCTATTTTGAGTTTGGTGGTCTCTTATTTTACTGTTATTCAAGCTATGTTTCATCATGCAAATATGCAATCATTTAAATGTATTTTGAGATTGATTTTAGAGTACTAAAGAAAATAAAATAAGATATAAAGATTATTGTAACAAAGATTATGCTTCGTAATCATTGGTATAAACTTTGGAATTGATTTTAGAGTAAAAAAATAGAATGAGACAGAGAGATATGGATTTTGAGATTGATTTTGGAGTAAAAAAAATTAGAATGAGATAGAGTATATTTTGAGAAAGATAAGAATGTAATTATTGTAGATAAGTAGAACAAAGATTATTTTTATTTAATTAAAAAAGAGATATTGACGTGGAGTCCAAATAAGTTAGAGTACCTTTATTTAAGAAGTAAGTTTAAAAGTAATATGGTCAGGCAAATAAAGTTCCAAAGTATAGTAGTTTGGGAAAAAACTCAAAAAAAAAAAACATTATAGCAAATTGTTGTGTTGACTTTTCAATCACATTTTTCATGTTTATCACTTCTAACATTATTTGATTGATAACTAATACTATATTATTATTATTATTATTATTATTATTATTATTATTATTAGTTTGTATATTATTTATATTTATTGATTGATATATATTTTTTAAATAAAATTTAAAATGACAACACTTTCGCTTTCCATAGTGAAGCAAGGAAGTTCACAAGTGAATATATTTTTTAACAATAACTTTGTTAATCATGAAGTAATTATAAAAATAATTAAAAGTTTGAATAACATTTTTTTATAAAAGTAAAATTATTTTTTTAAAATATTAAAAATAATTAAATAATATTATATTACATACTTGTTTAGCACAAGGCTTTTTGGCAATTAATTTTGATTTATACTTTCGTCTCTACTTATTTAATTAAAAAAATTCACTACGTGAATTCGAATTTTAATTAATTTAATTTAAATGATTTAAACCCTAACAACAAAAAGTATTTACCTAAAATTAAATTATTTGATTTTAAATTTTAACAATTTGAATTTTAAATGACTCAATTTTAATGATTAAAATTCAAAATAATTCAAAAATTTTTTGATAAAAAATTATTAGCTCTTTTAATTCTATTTTTTTTTATACGTAAAATTTTAGCCTAAGAGGATACTTTTTTATTTCAAAGTTGAGACATATAATAGGTCTTAAAAAATTTTATATTAAATTTATAAATCGTCCACCAAATAAAACTAATAACAGTGAAGTTTAAATATTTGAATTTTATCATTCTGTTGACAATTTAAAACCTATTTTGCGTGCATTATAAAATAAGTTATTGCGTTAACGTGATATTCACCAATACAAATGGGATCCCTTGTAGCTAGGCTTGTGGGCCTTAACCTATTGAAGAGTTATAAAAACTTGTGGAAAGCCCATCCTTTGTAAGACCAGGCTTGGAGGCCTTGAGAGGCATGCTGTGGACGTGGGCACGGACATGGACAAGTAGCATGGCAAGGACAACAAAAATGAAAGCCAGCTTCCAACGGTAGTGATGTAACCAAAGCAGGTGTCAAACTGGATCTTGCATTGTTAAGCAGTCAAGATTTCAAAAGAAAGAAACAATGATGCCCTATTTATTACAGAAAGACACACAGGCAACCCCCCAAAACTCAAAAGAAAAGATGCTCCCATTAAAGCTGGTACGAGAAGCCATTACCCAACACCCTTTGCTTGTCTCCCAGAAAACTCACCATCATACTAAATTCAACCTTGAAGGAGATAATGATGATGTCTCCAGACCTAGCTTTTACAATTTTTATTATCATTCCTCAAAAGCAACAAAACCCAAACCCAAACCCAAAACCAAAATCCCATTGCTTCTCTTTCTCCCCACGAAAGAAGTAATTAGCGACATATACAGGTTAGCCACCATTGCTAGAGAAATGGGCATGGATTTGTATCCTACTCCTTCCCTTTCGCACATCATTTTCTCTTACTCTTCTTCTTCTTCTTCTTCTTCTTCTTCTTCTTCCTCTTCTTCTTCTGCCTTGTCTCTCTCATCTTCTTTTTCCATGCCTTTACCCAACGATGCAGTTTTAATTTCCTTCCCCTCACTCTCTTCCTCCTCCCTTTCCCACCTTCGTTCCTTTGTTTCCCTCTCCAAAGGCCTTTTCAAGCTGGTTTTTATCACCACCGGCTCTGATTATGATGCAAAATTTGATGATTCCCGCAACTGGGATTGCTGCTCCGTTTCTCTGTTTTCAAGGTTGACGGGGGATAGGATCGAATCAATGCAGGCTTTTTCAAAAGCTTTAGCTGGAATGGGATGGACCCTCTTCAGTACAAGGAAAAACCCATCTCTATATTCTGCTAATACCACTACCAAATCGGTTTACTTGTTTAAGAAAGTGGATTCGGGTCGGGTTTGGGGACGGAGAGGGAATGGAGAACGCAGGATAAGAGAGCTGAGGTTGCCTTCATTGGATTTCAGGAATGCTCCTTTGAAGATTTTGCAGTATGTTGTTTTGATGACTGATGATGTTTTTTATCTTGGATAAAAACAAATGAAATGGTATGTCTTTTTCTTTGTTTTATTTTTGTTAATTTATGTAAATGTTATTTGTACGTATCCACAAATTATCGAATTACTAGAATCTTAAACAATTTTCATAAAATTTACCCAAATGATTTCTTTTATAGGTAAGAAGAATGTAACCTACTGCTTATTAACACTGGTTAGGGTCTTGTTTATAGAATGATTCTTGTCGTTAATCCATTTCTGTTTTAAATTTTATGAGAATGGTGCATCAATTAGAAATAATGGACTCCAGTTTATAAATTGCTTGTTTCATGGTTGCAATGTGCTCTTGAAAATAATGGACTAGAATCTAGCCCGGATGAGGCCAGCAAATGAAGTTTTTGTTAGTCCCTCTTTCTAGGTAAAATTCAATTCTTGAAATAAAAGTTTATAAATGTCTTATGAAGGATTTTTACCAAAAAGAGGCATTATAGAGTTAGAGAAAATATGCCAATGAATTTTGTGCGTTGGGCTTGGTATGAAGAAATGATAGCTTGTGTAGCTTGGTCCCTGGAGACTTTTGGAGTTGTGTTAAGGCATTGGCTTGTTTAATATATAAGCAACTTTGTATGGTGCTGGAACCACAGGCATCTCTCGGTTCTTGTGAACAGTGCTCCTGCATAGGAGCTAGATAAGTTAAAGGATCCATGTGATGGTTGTTAAAATTAGAAACAGGCATAGCACCAGAGATAGCTTCCTGATGTTTGCATCAAATAGTTGAATAATGGACCCTACTTGGTGATGGGAGAAATTCCTGAAGATAGAGTAAAAGCTAAATATCTTCTATGAGTAAAAGCTAAATATCTCCTATGGCAAAATATATAAGAAGAAGTTAAATTCTTGTACAGCAATTTCAATGGAAACCAGATCTTTTGAACAGCAATATTAATGGGAAAGGTTGCCGTACCTACTTTTGGTAAGATATATAATAGGATGTTGGTTTGTAGTCATTAGTGGAAGCATATGCTGGAAATGTCAAAGAAGTAAATGAAATTCCAAAAATATTGTTGTTGCACAAATTATAAGAGCTTTAATTTGAGGCCCACTTGTTTGCATATAGCTCAGAAACTGATTAGATGTAATTTAGTGGCTGATGCTTTTCAAACTTAAATGCAAGGTCTTTTCTCTGCTTTCTCTGGTCAGTGGAGCTTAACTTAATCATGTGTGTCCTCCTCTGGGTGTTTTGGTGTGCGTACGTGCATTTGCGCCCCGCGGGGGGGGGGGGGGGGGATTTGGGCTATCAATTAAAAATTTACATAATAAAGATTGAAGACTATGCTGAACTGGAATAGGAGGACTTCAAAAGGAATGATGAGCATGAAAAGGAATAGGTGCTGATTTTGATGGAGGGAAATAAGTGGCAATCAAAAAGGGAAATTTTTCATTGAGTTGCTATTCAATGGAAAAGAGCTTAATTATGCCACTGCCTAAGAAAATGGAAGAAAGAGATCATTATTAAGAACTGCATTATAGGTACATCAAAGAGTTCAGAGATACCTGTATATACCGTCCTGCATTTTAGGTTGAAGTGTGGATATTTCACGAGGAATTCTAGGATCATGTGGGGAAAGGCTGTGTTAGTTTCTCTGCTTTCTCATTGTAGAATATGAGGCCTCCCTGAAGACCTAGATTGTGGAGGAAATATTTGATATATTTCTTTATTTCTTTTGGTTTCTTTCTTTGATATTTTCTTTTTTTTTTTTTTTGGTGCAAGGGGAGTTGAACCACCATGAGCTTCCTGTGTAACCTCAAGCTTTAGAGAAAGATGAAATTATAGAATGTTTATATCTTTTAAAGGGAATATAAGTTCATACCATTGGACACAAGCACAAGTTATGCACTGGTTTGCATGTTGCATGAACTCAAGCACGCATGTATTACATTTTGCACACAATTGGATCTGTCTATTAATAGTTAAGTTCCCCATGAAATGTCTTTTTACGTTGCATTTCCACTTTAATTTGTGCCATTATACTTGATCCTCATTGTCATGACTCTAGTACAAAGTTAGACATGACTAACACATACGCTTAAATTTTCAAGAAAATTTAACATGTAGAAGGGATTGCACTCAACATTTGAGGAGGCTGGAGTCTGTACTTCATTCCTGTTATGAGTTTGAACGAGCAACCAACACAGTTCACTTCCATACTCTTGTTTGATGTATATTTTCTTGAGTTTATTATGCTAAAACTTGGACATCATGAGTTTCAAATATTGCAACCAAGAATATGACATTGACAATGTTTATTTTGATATGTTAAGTTTCTTAGAGATTATTAAGAATGGGATCAAAAGATTGACTATTTGTCATTGTAGCATTCAAGGATTAGTGGTTAAGGTACAGTAAGTTTAGCATCTACATAAAGCATAACATCCATGGAATCCCTTTCTTTCAATCTCCATTAGCAGTTCATTTTTGTTTATGCTCCTCAAGCTAGACTCTAATGAGAGTCCATTGTTTCCCAATTCTCTTCATAGCCGAAATATATTGTCAAAACAGGTCAAATGAATTCGGTTATCTGCTTCAACTTGCTTAGAAATTTTGTTCAGCTTACTGAAATTAAGTCACTGACTCTCTGTCCTGGATGACACTTCTTGCTCCAGTGTCGTTTTGTACCCAAAAACAAAGGCATTATGTTTTTTCACGCTTCTTTACAAGTCACAGCTGCTGCTACGAGTCCAGAGCCACTATTTTTGCATTGCAGGGTTGTGATAGCCTGACCGAGATGATATACTGTCAACTATGAGCTTGGTTAGCTTTGCTTTATAAAGACTAAAATAATAATAATAATAATAATAATAATAATAATAATAATAATAATAATAATAAAATCCTTAAACTTTGTAATTTTGTTTAGATAAGTCTATATTTTTAATTTGCACCCAAATAAATCTTAAACTTTTAATACATATCCAAGTAAACTTTCAAATTATTAATTTGTATCTAGATAGTTCTTAATGTAAATTACTTTTTTTCATTTGAAATAAAAATCTTTTTAGATATAAATAACGTAAATTATTTTTTTATTTGAAATAAAGATTTATTTGAATATAAATCAAAATATAAAAATTTATTTAGAGATTTATTTAAAAAAAAAAAGATTAATTTAGGGATCCTAGTTGTATTTTAACTTAAAAATTAAATATAGCTATAGTAATTCAAAACTCAAGGCTCAAGCCAACTGTTTGTGCAGAATGCATTTTTATAGAGCGAGATCAATTGACATAATCCATGGCAATGGAATGCTTGATTGAACAAAAAGCAATTATCCAGTTAACACGTGAATTGCTGTTTGTTTCCCAGGTTTCACCTTGCAAAGAGCCATTGAAAATGTATCGCAGACCTTTTCAACAGTCAGTCAGTAACCAATAAACTCAGATTGTCTTCGTCTCCCTTCTGGTAACCTATAAAAATTTATGTGACCTAAAACAAAAACAAGTTTCCACTTCCACCAGGTAACAAAATAATAAAACTGAACCCATAACCTAGTTTAATTGATTCATGTAAAGTGATCTGAAATTCAAATTTTAACACTTGCAACCCTTCTCCTATCCTCAGACTGTGATTTCTTTTGTACTTAAAAAAGAAAGTTGGGCCAGTGCCAAGCAAGAGTAACAGCAAGCAGCAATGCTAGGCATACCAGGCATATTTATATTAAGATGAATGGATAATGAACTAACTTCCATTAACCATTCAGCAATCAGGATTATAATTGGAAATACTCCAAAGAGCTATGCCTGCACCCACTAACTCAAAACATTCACATGCCGGCACATAGCCTTCCCTTCCACCACCTCCCCTTTCCAGTTCCCTTGCTCATTCTCTATCCAAGCTATGAAACAAGACTGTAAAACTTTCACTTAAGTCACTTGAGTTAGAATGGCATGATTGTGAATTAAAAATGTTAAACTGAAAAGAATCACATCACCTTTAAAGTCCAATTAGGCTAACATCATTCTATACAATGAAAAACCACAGCTCATTGCATAAATGCAAACCGCCAAAAGGCATGAATTATCAAATGGAGTCCCGTAAAATCCCATTTTTTTCAACATTTACTATTTGGCAGAAAAAAAAATATTAGAGTGAATTTATATATCAATAAATCATGTTGTATGAGAACCATGTGTTCTTGAGGCCCATATACCAAAGACAAGAAACCAGAAGACAAACAAGATAGCCCAGTAGCGTGCTGGTCCATACTTAATCCTAGTCAGCACAATCTGCAAGTACCAGCCACATTATACAAAAAAATTACCTAAACTGAAATTAGGAGAAAAAAATAAAATAATAATAAAAAAATATTAAACTTTGGATCTGATAATCTCGAGCCTATGAACCAGAAGACAGAAATTCAGAATTCAACTGCAATATTGAACCTGCCACCCGAGAGCCTCAAGAGAATTACTTTAATTCTCTGTACTATTATTTCAGGCCAAATTCAGAATTTAAGGTAAAGATTAACGGACTACATGCATTTTATGAATGTCATGCCTATTGTGAAGAGAAACCAAAAGAATAATTAAATTTACCAAGATAGCCGTTATTTCAAGCAGCAAAGAACCTCAATTTCTTACACTAACTGCAAAGGACTGCAAAAATTACTGAACTGCTGATTTGAAACTAAACAAGCACCAAACAGAAGCCATGCCTATTGTGAAGGTACAGCAAAAGTATAATTAAGTTATCAAGATAGCTGTTATCAGTTTGTCAAGGAACAGAAACATAATGAACCGATCAAGTATCAACAACATGCAAATATATCTATATTTACTCAAATCAAATGCACATGAATTTAGTAAACAAACAACTACAGATATAGTATCAAGTTACTTACAAAGCGAAAGAAGACCACAACTGTTAAAGCACAAATGCCTCCCAGGAGAATATGAAGACCACTCCTAGCCGTTTTCTACAAAATAAAGAGTGACACATTAAACAAAGCTATGTTACTAGTAATCAAAAAATTGGAAAAAAAAAAAAGGGTTTAACAGTGCTTATGTCTTGATGAAATTTTCATTGACAAGAATATGTTGGCACCAGGAAGCTAATGGTGATGCACAAATGCACATGTAATAGAATATAACATATAAGAAAGAAACTGTTATCATTCCATTCAATCAATTGATGAATATATTTGGGTACCAAAATTTGCCCACAACCCAGTCAATAGCTGTAGGTATCAGTGTGGGTCTGGATTGACAGTCACTACCTTCCTGGTCAAAATTCTACAAAATGAATGGGCATTTTAGCATAATCATAAGATACTCTCATGTTGGTTTAGAATTGAAAAAATATTATAGTTTCTGCAAATTTCAATGCTCTAAGCATACAGTTAAAGGTGTGCCAATTAAGGCAGGCTAATATTTATATAGATATAATACCCAAATAAGCCCTGTAATTTTATTAAAAAATTTTTAAAAAAAGTCTTTGATATTTTATTGCATGAAATTAAGATATTTATATGGAGATAATCCCATAAAATGCCTTTTATAAACTCATGACACTTTTGGTGAGGTTGAAAATATAAGCACACTGGAAATAACCAACACTCAAACTATTCATGAACTTCTATTTTATTATAATTAGAACCTTACGACAATAAAATATTCAATTTTTTGTTAAAATTTTCTTAGCAGATGATGTAATTTGTAGAAAATGCTTTCTTAGATTTATTTGAATGAATTGAATGACAAATGTTTAAGAGAATGCTATTTTAAAAATTCTGAAAATTGGACTTTATTCATCCATTTTCAAGATTTAATGGGTATAATTATATTTAAAAAAAGTTCATAACCTTAATTTCATGCAATAAAAGATCGAAGGTTTGTTTCAATTTTTTAGTAAAGTTTGAGAATTTATTTGGGTATTCCTATTTATATATATTGAATTTCTTATAAACAGTGGAAAAACTAAAAGCAGTAGTTCCCAAGCTTGTTAAATGAGCATTTATCACAAAATACCTTTCCAACACGAGGAGCAATGAGCCATGCAAGCGTGACAGTAAGTAGACCCGTAGCAAGAAGAATCCCAGTACCTTCCACAGCCCATTTGGTTGCAGGATTTTCAGTGGAAGCAACTTCTTCAGTGACAGTATTCAGGGGTTGTTCGGAAATAACCTGTGAAACTGCAGCAGAACTATTATTATTGTTATTATTGCTATGTGGACTGAACCACAATGAAATCTCACTTAGCCGTTGCCTCCTAATAGCAGCAACAGCATCTGGGTCTACACCTGAACTTGTATGAACTTGGGCAGGATTGGGATCACCACTAGCAGTCCTTTCTCTCAATGCTTCATAATCTTTCAAAGAAACCACAACTTTCTTAAAGTCAGAAGTTCTGATATTTTTTGCAGCATTTCCACAGATCTCGCAAACGGTAGATCCATGACTAACAAACCATTTGAGAGCACAAGCATAATGCACTAGAGCAAGATCATTTTTGCAAGAACAACCAAGTTCAATTAATGCGTCCTGATGATGACATGAGCCCATTTCTAAATCAGTACTACAGATGAAAACCTCTCCTTCAGGGCTTATGAACTCAACAAACCCGGATTCTCTTTGAATACTCTTAGCATGACATTCATCATTTTCCATATCTTTCTGAAGTCCTTTGCTATTAGGCTTAGCATCTCCATTCCTTTTAATCGCTTCTGGTAAGGGAGGAGTGATGCCCAAAAATCCTAAAGCAGCATCCCCCCTTTTGTCAGATTCTGCACACTGGCATACACGACAAGTAGCCAAACCTGCCTCTTTGTCTAGACTGCATCGTGAGTAAGTCCCAGAATCATCACTGTCAGCATTCGAACAACTATCAATGTTGACACCTCCATTGACTGCTTGAGGCAAGCTTTCCTTACCCATCATGTATCAAATAAAATTAATTATGATCTCTTCAATTACAGCAGCATATTACTTTGATGCATCATATTAATCTTCCATTAGGGCGATCTCCCCATTGCAAGTTGCTAAGCAACTGAAAAGAAGCAACACTATCTCCACACAAAACAGACAGTTCACAACCACTTGCAATCCATTGAAGAATGGCACTTTTCTGTTTTCACATAATCCAGGAACTTAATGCAAGATAGAAAAAGGAACAAGTAGCGCAAGCAGGACAGTGAATAAGATTACTAACAATCTTTTCCTGATAAGTTCCTGGTTCACAATAGTACAAAATCATAACTTGTTTAACAAATAATAAAACATGTAAATGCACGAAAACAATAGAATTCCCAAAAATTTATAATTAACCGATTATAAGAAATGCATAAGAAAAATTATAACTAACAATAGGTATTAAATTGATTATCCTCTTAACCAGATGAAGGGATGGGTTAAAAACAATCAATAAGAGAAAAAAATGATCAAATAGAATCAATTTAAAACACAGGATTTCTACAATTAGACTAATACTCGAATCTTAATTTAAAAAAAAAAAAAGCCCTTATTCACACTTGAACTAGGGTCAATAAAGATAAAAGAAACGATACATGAACAATTAAAGACCTAATAAAAATACATTAATAATTGAAAATGTTCCGAAGTCCAAATTCGGTCAAACCAAAAGGGCAATTCAATTGAAATAATATGTAGGCATGGAGAAGAGAAAAAAAAAAATCAAAAGCAAAGCTACTGAATCATAAAGTTAACACGCAATTCAGAGTCCATATAGAAAATTGTTCAGCAATAATAATAAAAATAATAAGAGCAAATAGGGAAACCCAAGAAAACCCAGAAATCCTTAGATCATGGAAAAGGAAAGAAAAAAAGAAAGAAAGGAAGAAAGAAACGAACCTACGGCAATTGGGGAGGATGAGGGAAAGGATGTGCAAAAATCAGTGAGGCGGAGAGAGTATTGCTGGGGACTAGACGTGACCGAATGTATGTGGGGGCTGCCTGCTTCCTCTAATGCTCTTGTCTTTACTCCTTTTGTGGGCTTTGCTCTAACCTTTTTTTTGGGTTTGGACCGTCTTTTGCTTATACTTTCCTTCCACCTCATCATTGGAGGCATTCCAGTGGTTTCCTGTCGATTGCTTTTGATCGGTTTATTTTCGGTTTTTATTTTTTATTTTTTTTAAGTTGCATTCCAATTGTTTGGCCTTCATATTATTTCAAATTTATATTTTTTTTAAGTTTGGATCTTTGCGAGTTCAAACTGTATCTAGTTTGAATCATTATTAATTTGAGTTTGTTTTGGTTTTAAATTCGATCAATTTTGAATTAATTATAATCAAATCATTATAAATTTAAATTATTTTAATTAAGTTTAACTTATGTCGAAGTTAAATTTATTTTTATTTCAATTGTTTAAATTATAATTTTTTTTTCATTTGTTGAATTGTATAGTATTTTAGTCTAACGTTTTTCAATCAATCTAGATTGAATAAGTTTGTTCTTGAATGGCTCTTAATAGTTTTTTGGAATTTACACAAATTTTATCACCTTCATTTTAAAAGTATTCATGACTTAAATAAGATCGATACTACTTAATTTTTATTTTAAAGTCGAGTTCTAATTTAATTTAATTTGTTTAGTTACATTTTATTTTATTATTAAATGAAATTCAAGTTAAAGTTAAATAATAATATATTGATATTAATAAAATGTTCTAATCGGGTCAAAAACACTGAAGCTTGGATCTAAAAATGCAAAAATGAGCAAAGTCGTTTGGACCTCTACACTTTCCATGTTACTTTCCTTGGTGGTTTTCATTTCTACTCTTTTATTTTTGTCTTCTTTTTTTTAATGATTTTTGCTCTCCAAAATTGGTTTTGTGTGAATTATCACTAAATAATTATTTCATCATAATTAAAATTTTTTAATAAAAATGCATAAAAATATTTTCGATAATGAATAATTTTCTTTAAATAATTCAATTAGATAATTTTTTTTTTTAATAAAAAGTTTGACAAAGTTCGGCTTAGACATGTCCATCTCCGCCAAAAAAACTTGGATGTGCTAATGGATCAATTTAAGAGTTTACATGTTTCTCTTTTATTTTCTAAGCGGTTGGACTTTTTTTTTTTTTTTTTGTTAAATATTTTAGATATGAGACCCACACCTTTGTTTTTTTTTTTTCTTGTAGTTTCTTTTTTGGGTTTTTTAATTAGCAGAGTCCACTTGTTTTTTATTTATTTTTAATTTTTAAAAGGTGTGAAACCCATATTCTTTTCTTGTAAAATTTTTTTAAGTGGGACTCATTCCTTGATTTTATATTTTTTTCATCTAATTTTTTATTTTATTTTTTTTAATTTATAGGGACCACATTCTTTTTTGTTGATTTTTTTTTATTGTTTAATTAATGAGATGTACCTTTTTTTTAATTTCAAAGTTGTGGCCATGTGGGACTCACATTATTTTTTTATTAAAATTGTTATGTGGGACCCGCACTGTGGTTTTTTTTTGTTTTTAATGTTTTGTATTTTTTTAATTTTATGGACCTATCTGCTTTTTTTTTAATTTTTTAAAGGAGTGAGCTAACATTCTTTTTCGTTGATTTTTTGAGTGAGACCTTTAATTTTTTTGTCCCAGCTGACCTTTTTTTTTTATAATTTTACCTTTTTATTTGTGAGACTCATTTTTTAATATTTTAATTCAAATATTATATTTATATATAATTAAAATTTAATTTATTGTTCATCCAACCATCTTATAAGTTAAATGTGTCTATATATATATTATATTGCATGTCATTCACATTATTTATTTTAAATTTAAATGTGTAATTTTTTTAATTTTTTAAAATAATTTTTTTTAAAAGGTAGGATTCACCTTAAAAAAATTTTCCCTTCAGCACATTTTTTTTGTTTTACAATACGAGACTCATATATTTTTTTCGTGAAATGCACTTTGAAGATTTGTTGTTTTTTTTTTTTCTCATTTAATTTATTATAATTTTTTTAATGCAACTCACATTTTTTTCGATTTTTCACTAAATTCTTTTTTTCTTAAATTTTTTTTATATAACGTGTAATTCTATATATAAGATGCTGCAAATTTACATTTGGTGCTGCTTGTCAACTTTGTGGCTTGCCACATGGTAACCTCATAATTTTTTTTTTTTTGTTTTTTTGGTATGAAACCGACGTCTTGGTTTTGTTTTGCTTTTTTTTTTCGTTTTTTTAATAAGAGTGGTCCACCTGCTTTTTATTTTTTAAAAATTTTATAAAGTTGTGGGTTCATTTTTTTCTTAAATTTTTTTATGTGGGACCCATACCTTTTTTAATCTATTTTTAATTTTTTTTTTGGTTTTTTTTTAATTTATAGGGTTTTCTTTTTTTTTCTTTAATTTTTAAAAGGTGTGGGACACGTTATTTTTTGTTGATTTTTTTGTGTGGGACTTACACCTTAATTTATTTTTTTCTCAAACGTTTTTTCTATTTTTGTAATTTTTGACCTTTTTATTATAGGACCCACATATTCTTTTTTTTAAATTTAATACAAATATTATATTTATATATAATTAAATTTTAATTCCTTCATGGATCCGATTATTTTATAAATTGATTATATATATGTACGAATATACATTATGTATCGCATGTCAACCGACATTAATTTTTTTAACATTAACACATATAATCTCTTTAATTTTTTAAATACATTTTTTTAAGAGGTAGTACACCCTTCAAAAGCCAATCTTTTTTGTTTTTAAATATGAAACTCACATTTCTGTGGGACTAGCTTTTATCTATCTTATTATAATTTTTTTCAATGCAACCCATTTGTTTTCAATTTTTTCCATCGAACTTATTTTTTGTAGATTTTTTTTGGCATCATGTATTATTTTTTATTTTCTCTTTTTAAGTGTTTTATAAATATCTTTTTTTAAGGAATTAAATTGATATCAAATTTTATCCATTTTTTTTCTTCTTTCAAGAATATTCGATAAATTTTTAATATTCTTTTACCTTTTTGATAAAAAAAAGAAGCCACATGCTTTTTTTTTTGTTTTTAACTTTTTTTTCTTTCTTCTTTTTTATATATTTAATAAACAAATTTTTAGTTTTAATTTTTGTGACTAATTTGATTTCAATGGTACGTCACATACTAAGTTATTTCATTATTTTTTTCTCTTGTGCTATTTAATCTTTTTTCTATTTATCTTTTTTCCCTTATTTATTTAATAAAAAATTAAAATAGTTTTTAAAAATTTAACACTCATTTTATATATTATTAAAATATATATTTTTCACTGATGTTTTTATTTATTTTTGTAAAACAGATATTGACAAATATGCTAACGTCACATCTGTATTTGGTTTTTTTTTGTTCTTTTTATTTTTTATATTTTGAGACCCACTTGATACTAAATATATGTCGTATGTATGTTTTTTTGTTCTTTTTTCTCTTATGTATTACTTTTCATTTTATATTTAATAAATATTTTAATAAATTTAATTTTTTGTGACCCTTAGATGCTAAATGCATATCTCGTATCCAATAATTTGCTTTTTTTTTCTTTTTTTTCAAATTTTATTATTATTTAATAAAAATTTTAAAATATTTTAAAATTTCTAAAGGGGTAGGGTATGTTTAATATTATTGTTTCAATTTTTTTATTTGATAATTAAAAAAAAGATATTATGAAATGTTGTTATCACATTGGTATTTGATTTTTGTTCCTTTTTTAATCCTATTTTTTTAAAATCCTTGATATACCTTTATTTTTATTATTTCATTTCATTATATATATATGTGTGTGTGTGTATTTTATATTAATAAGGTCATTATTTAATATCTTAATTTAATAAATCCACTATTTTAATTTTTTTCTTTTTTATTAAATTAAATTACTTAAAAATAAAAGGTCAATTGAGATACCCACATTGCAACTCCATTTAACTTTTTTTCTTTTGTTTTCTTATTTTTTAATTAGATCAATTTTACAACAAATAATGTTGATTAATAAGGATGTCAAAACAATTTGTATGCAATAAGCTTGATCCATCCCAATTAAATAAGGAGAAATATTTTTTTTTTAAATCAAGATTAAGTTGAAGTAAGTCTTCTTTTTTTAATGAAATAGGAGATCGTGACGGAAGTATATTTAGGGTATTTTGTCCCGATCAATTTTAAAGTATATGTAGAAATATATATTTTATTATTAATTTATATTTGTATATATTATATTAATAAAGTAATTATTTGATGCTTTAATTTAAGAAATTAATATTTTAAGTTTTAATGAAAGTGTTCGTATAACATCCTTTATGAACTTTTTTTTTATTTCTTTACTTTTTTCCTTTTCCTTTTTCATTTCTTATCTTATCTTTTTTTTATTTTTTAAAATTAGATAATTTTCATGAAAAAAAATTAATTGAAATAACCACATCTCATCTTTTTTTTGTTACCTTTTGCATTTTTTTTATTTTTAGATTAGGTGAATTTTACAATAAAAAATCACTTAAGTATATATGACAAAACAAAAAATTTTTGACCTGCAGTAATGCACAGATATTTTGCTAGTAACCAAAAAAATCAATCTTGAAGAGCAAATAGTAGTGAAACCTTTTTAGCATTGCATTTTGATTTGTGATGCTAATGCTATCCCAATATAGTTATATAGTGTTTGGTGTGGGCAATTTTTCTTGAATTTTCATATCTTTTTGTATCCAAAAATCTCTAACAATCCTTGATTGATGGAATTTTTATATTTTTTTGTATAAAAAATAAATCAAAATCTTGTTATTGAAGAATTCTTAAAATATTTTAGTATATTGGTAACAACATGAGATATTTTCTTGCTTAAGGATTTTTTAGGATCATTACTTGAATTTTCTTAGAATCCTATTATCGGAAGCTCGTATTTTTAATTAATTAATACAACTAACATTCATGTATTATTATATGTAACCTTATTTTTAAAAAAAAAAAAATTTTATTATTATTTTTTATTTTTTAATTAAAACATAATAAGTAAATGAAAAACTTTTTGTATTGAATATATTTTTAAATACTCCATTATTTTGGAAGTATTTTATAAAAATATTCTCACCCAAAGATTGTTAAAAAATTACTATTAAAATTTCTTTAATATCTCATTTTCAAAAGATTTTCATTT